AACAAGCCATTAATAAATGTATGGATTTAAATGGATCAAGTACTTTTCCAGTGTTCTGTAGCAGGTATCTGCCCTGCTGTAATGATGTTGATCTTGTGAAAGACCTTAAACACAAATGCAAACTTTCAATATATTTTTTAGATTTACTTATTCTTTCCTAGATTTTTATTTGAGTGAAGTTAAAATTTCATTAATCTTTCCTAAAGGAAAAGCCAGCATCCTTTTCCAAAGCTTGAAGGTACATTTTAGTAGACTTTAGGGCTGCCGCTTACAATTTTTTTAGCAACGTATTATTCCATTGATTAATCAAGTCAACCGGATCCCTATATTTTAATCAACTATCTTAGAAAAGCATGCAAAAAAACACAGTAAACAAATACGCTTCAACCTTGTTGAAGATCTAAGATCAGTACGTGAACAGCTGAGCTCTTTCGGGATGAGTTTCTAATGTCTAATTAGTGCAAACAGTCAACACTAAAGGTGCATAAAGTATCTCCTGCATTTTGCATTCAAATGGATTTTTAAAAGAGTTTTGTCTACATCAAAGGGAATAATGTTATTCCTGAAAAATACCACAATCAAACTCCTCTGATGGATGGTTCTGCTATGTCTCTACAGATTTATAGCAAAACCTGCTCTTAAAGCCACTTTCATTTAGAGGTGACATTACCCTGCTTTGTTGTTATAAATATTTTTAAACCGAGGCTTTAACTTCATATTAAATGCAAAAATCTAGTTATTTTTTTAACAGTTTCAATTATTTAGAGCTGTAAGTTGGTCTTTTCAGCAAATGTTATATTTTAGAGTCTGTATGATCCAGCTAATGATTAACAGATTATCAAATTAGTTAATTATTGCAATAATTAACTACAATCATGATTAATCAAACTATTTTACCCTTAAATGACTTCAGTATATTAGTCAATATACAAGCAGTGTTCATGCTTCATCTTAGTTTTACTCCAACTGCATAAATTACTGACATATTTAATTAATAAGACATCAAATGTGGGTATTAAATTCAACAGGAGCTGCAACTCCAACTAAAATGTTCAAAGAGTTGAATTATTCTTTTTTTCCTGCTATTAACATCCAATTGTTTAAATATTTATCTTTGCTTTAAATTTTTTTTTTTTTTGGCAAAACATTGCACCTCATCTAATGCTAGAATGAAGCGGACAGATTTAATCTGGATTTTTTTTAAATAAATATGTGGATTAGAATGAAACGAAAACAGTGACCAGTAAGTATTGAGCTTATTTCTTCTGTGTGTTATTCTCAGACTGTTTTACTGTCAGTCTGTTCCCTTTTAAACTGTTCCAGTGGCAGTAACCTTCAGAAACCCTACTAAACAAATATGGCTTCATCGATAAGCCCACATGTCAGAGCTGTTTCCATTACACAGACAGTACAAATATAAGTTTAATAACCGGGGGAAAAAATCCACTTATAGAGTTCAATTTTAGAAGAGGAAGAGGAAGCATCTTCATTAAAAAGAAAATAAAAAACTAGTGTGAACCACAAGCATGAATCGGCTCTTTTCATCAAGTCTTTTGTTTTACAGCAGGTATTTTCTCTGAAGACTTCCAGGGTTTGGCTTTTTTCCCATGTGCCATCAGATAATTTTCCCAATAAATCCTTCACTAAGTTTATGGTGCAGCTACAGCTGCAGCTGTCAGGCGACACAATTCAAACAACGTCTCTGTGATATCACAGTGGATAGGATTTAATAGCTCATCCAGGAAGCAGACTGAGGTGTGTTTTTATCAAATGCTGCTGATGAGCAATGAGGACAGACGCACAGGAGATCTAGGCGTATGCATGGAGCCTGAGGGAAGCAGGGGTCAATCATAAATTACCTTTTCTTCCAGGAACTGAAGGAGAATCTGGTCTCAGATGATTCATTTAATCATTTTCCTTTATCCAGGACACAAGAATCTCACTTAAACTGGGTTCCCACTACTAGCAGAGCCGTTTAGCACCATTTATAGGTTGAATTCTATCATAATACAATAGAATAGAAAAGTCCTTTATTGTCCCACAATGGGGAAATTGTGGTGTTTACAGCAGTAAAAGGTTATATTAGAAGCGGCCACACAATGTGTACCTTATAAAAATAACAGATAGGATAATGGTTCGATCATTGCATTAAATTAGTTTCAGCAGATGTGTAAAGTTTTATTTAAAAAGGGAAAAAAAGGGCAACAATTTTCCTGCTAGTTATGCTATGAAACATATTTACTGCTAAGTACGTGCCTGGGATGGTGTTGTTCTCAAAAGGTGATCTCAGTTTGTGGACGACTAATGTGGATCCAACACAGAAAAGGGAATCAATGTGAACTCTCCTTTGTGGTAAGGGCAGGCAAAGTTGACAAACAACCCCCTTTTATGTGGGAGAGACCCGAGTAGAACACGGCGCACCAGCTATCCATAATTAGGACCCTCAAAAAACAGCGGAGGGGTTAAAAATATTAAAAGATATCATCAAGTCATATCAAAAAAGCACCTAGATGCTAGCACCTAAACCAGCTCAAGGCATGAAAAGAATATAAGTGGAGAAAGACGAAAAGAATAACAAAGCTTTAATTGCACGGTTTAGAGCAGATGTTACGGAAAAAAAAGCATCCTTAACATTTATGAGTGAATTCCTGCAGACTGATTAGATAAAACTTAGATAGCTTCTTCACATGTTACTTTGGTATTTTATAATAAAAAAAAACTCTAAAGGTTAAGGCTTTGCACACATTTCCTTGTACAACTTAAAAAAAAATAAATGAAATGTCCCAATAAATTGTCCTTAGTTTTCAATTCAACTTTTCCATTTTATTCTTGAACTACATGATTAGAGACTAAAGCGGAGGAATGTGTTTAATTAGCAAGACACATGGTTCTGAGATTAAAAATAAATAATTCTTAAAAATTGAAAGCAATAAAATCCGTTCAACAAGGTCTTTGGTTTAGGCAGCTCTTTGAAGGTAGGCGTCTGTTCAGTATGGGCGTCATGAACTTTCTTACTATTCTTACCATTTCCATCTGTTCTTTTAGGACAAGAAAAACAGCTGCCCTTAAAAATCAGCAGTTTGGCAAAACATCTGAATATGTGCAGTGAGAATCTCAGAGCACAGGCATTCACAAATAAATTAAAAAACGAATATAGGGGCATATTGATCATATATAAAGCCAACTAAAACCAAGTAAGATGTAATATATGTAGGGTTATTAGTAATATTACTGCTAATAGAGGTCAATTCCTTGTTGTTGAATATGCACCTACAAACCTTCTACATTAAAACATCTGTGTTTTCTGGACAGGGCCGCCTGTGAAACTGGTTTACTGTTTCCTTTGTATCTATGCTTCTTTTTCTATGTCTGCTACTGTCTGCTTGAACATAGTCAGCCTCGGCAGATGGCCGTTTCTCTACCCGATCCACCCCAGAAGCACGATCCGTTCTGCGCATGCGCTGTCAGCTAATTTGTGCATCCGCATGCAGATGTACATCTGGATCGTCCTCGGTCTTATTTAGTTAAAAATACCTAAATGACGTTTCCCCTCCCCCAAAATAGTAAACGTTCTAAAATATAACGTGTTAAAGGTTAATAATGCATTTCCTGAGAAAATAAAGGCCTTAAAATCCTGTTTTATCACTCGTCTCTGCCTGATCTGCAACGGAAATGGGATCCTACGCTACTTCCAGTGGCAAACTTTTTCAGCTTTGGATTTAAACATTGATCTAGTCTTTTTGAGTTTTGTGTTAACCTTATGGTATATAATGCTTAATCTAAAGAAAGAAACAGCTAAAATGCAGATAAACATGGTTTAACCATATCTTGCCGGACTGCTTTGAGCATGTCTGATGATGTCAGTGAAGCAGTTTAACGAAAAAAAATGTAAAAAGCATTAAAATTGTCTAACAAAATTCATAAAACATTATTTAAAGATTTGCATTAGTATTCTTTAGAGAGCTGAGCATAAAAATAAGTAGTTTTAGTACCATAATCACAGTATTTACAGTAACCCAGATGTGCATCTGTTCGCGCATGCACAGAACGGATCGTGCTTCTGGGACGGATCGGGTAGTGACAGGCCGCTCACACTGAGCCTGGTTCTGCTGGAGGTTTCTTCCTGTTACCAGAGAGTTTTTCCTCTCCACTGTCGCTAAAAGCATGCTTAGTGTGAGGGACTGCCTTTCTTCCAGTCAATGAGTGGATGCAATAAACAGGTTTTCCTTAGATACAAAACTTGTAATCAATCTGACTGTATGATCTGGTTGAACTATAAAGTGCCTTGAGATGTCATGTGTTGTGAATTGGCGCTATAAAAGAATTAACTGAATTGAATTTCAGTTTGCAAGTAAGCCTACATTAAAATATGTGATGAAAGTGTGTTTTGTAAACTTTTGAAAAAAAATGACAGAAATAGGAGAACATCCCCCTAAGAACAAACCCCTCTTATGCAAGTATTTAAATCTGTTCATTATATGCAATTAAATAACACAATATACCAGGTGTGCTCTATTCACAAATGACTCCAGAGTAAAAAAGCATCTTAGACGGATATTCTCATTTTCTTAAACAAACCTTGGCTTTATGATGATATAGTTTAGGGTCTGATAGATGTATCATCTAAATGTCTGTAGGCATGAAAACCGCGTTTTGGAGCAAATTTACACAGAAGAACAGGAAGAGTTCCCTGTGTCAGCATGCACTTCTACGGTTGAGCCTTGCAGCATGTTGATCAATAACCCACATGTAACTATAAACACAAAAACACCACCAATTACAAGAACCAATACTTCCTACAAACATCAGTTCCTTTATATTATATCCACCCACAGGAATATTTAACTTTTTTTTTTCCTTCACTGTCAGCCCACCCTGCTGTTTCAGCTGCCTTGCTCGAAGGGCACGCTGACAGCAGTTTAAAACCCTCCACACAGACAGAAAGGGAACCCTTCCTGCAGCGAAGGCTGCAGCCATAGAAGACCCCCGCGCTCACTCACCGTCACGTTCCTCCGCAGTTCAATCGAGTCTGGGCTCAAACTGTCAAAAAGTGTCCAAACTTTTCTAAAAAACACTCCAACATTCCAGCTTCCGCTTCCTGAAACCAGCTGCAGCAATAACAGCAGCGCTATGCGGAGAGGAGGAGGTGGAGGAGGAGGAGGGAGGGAGGAGGAGGAGGTGTGTCTTTGGAGCTTTGATTGTAGCGGGGAAATGGCGACACCTGCTGGGCTACTGCTGTTAATACAACGCGCGGATCTAAAAGGTTTTAACCAATACTTAATGTCCTTATAAATATTTCTGTGTCTTATATTCAACCAAAGTATTTATTTTACTCCAACATTGTGAATCCTATGTGAAGTCACATTATTATGCATTTTCTTTAATTGCATGGTGCAAGGCATTATAAAATACTATACTGAAGGGTTTAATAAATATGCTTGGTGATAGCACTAAAGGTAAGGATTAAAAAGGTTGTAATAATTTAAGGTTAAAAATGATTCATGGTAAATTGATGAGGTAAAAAAAGTGAAAGTTAGAACTGTAAATATACAGTCATATGTTTATATTTATTACTGTTTTCCAAGGCTGCGTTTAAAAAAATGAAATTGTCTAGAGCAACCTGACATAGCCTACCTTGCACACAGAGAACGCAAAAGTCAGATGTGTTTTTTATTTATATCATCATTGTGTAGTTGGCATCGAAGTCTTTCAGTATCGTTCTGTCCTTGGGCAAGACACATCACCTGCATTGCCTAATGATGTCTACAGTCATCGCCAAAAGTTTTGAGAAGATTCAAATGTTAATATTTACAAAGTCTACTGCTTCAGTTTTTATGACGGCAATTTACATATACTCCAGAATGCTATAAAGAGTGATCAGCGTAACAGCAATTAATTGCAAAGTCAATATTTTCCTAGAACTTTATCTAGAACTTTATCCCCCAAAACACATTTCAACATCATTGTAGCCCTGCTATAAAAAGAAGCAGCTAACATCACTTCAGTGATTGCTCCATTAACACAGGTGTGGGTGGTGATGAGGACAGGGCTGGAGATCAATCTATCATGATTAAGTAAGAATGACACCACCGGACACTTTAAAAAGAGACTGGTGCTTGGCATCATTGTTTCTCTTCTGTGAACCATGGTTATCTCTAAAGAAACACAT